CCGAACAAATCTTATGCATTTATTCTTGGATCATGCAAATCTTTTTTTCACCCTAATTTACTTATTTGGAGAATTTAATTTTCAGATTTTTTTTTGTGTGGATTCGTTTGTTAAGTAATAAATTAATCTATATTAGATTCAAAATTAAAAAAAAATGCTAAGGGTTGGGAGAAGAGATTGGTGGATAAATTTAGATATTTTGGTAATTTTATCCAGACAAAAAGTGGCAAATTAGTTTTTTTTAAAAATGAATAAAAAATACAGATGAGTTATATAACGGTTAGAAACCCAATTTCCCACAGTGGGAGCGACGTTCAGAAGCTGGAATGAAATGGGCGAAAAAGTGGACGATGACGATGAAATCTTGAAGCAAGTTTTTGGAGATTCTTCAGACGATGAACACTTAGAAGAGCAACCTGCAATGGAAGATTCAGCATATGAAGTCGGCCGCATTCATGGGTGGGAGTGGGAGCAGGTCAAGGAAATTAAAGGCTTATGGCTGTGCAGAAGCTTCCTCTCTCCCGAACAACAAACGTCGCTTCTCTCCGAAATCCGAAACGGTTTTCTCTCTTATTTTTCCTGCAATTTTCAATCTCGAGTTGTTCGGAAAGAGGAGATCGAAGGAAAAATTAAATTTCTCTTCCTCCGGATCCCTTTTCTTTTTCGTGTGTGCTCTTACTGGATGCAACTTATATTCTCCCAATGATTGTTTAAATGTTTCTGTTTTCGAATTTGACCTCTGAACTTTAAAATTTGACTGAAGGAATAATTGGTTCGTTTTTTCTTTACTTTTTTTGAGGAGCTCTGAGCAGTTTACTCTCTTTATGAGATTGTAGTTATTTGAACTAGTGTGGAAATGTTTATGAAACCATGCCTATAAAGTCATACTAATCTCACATTATTAAAGACTAATGTACTGTTGTGGTTGCAGAAGGGTGGTTCAGGGAAGCCTCTCAAAATCAGGTAGCTTCTGTTTCAATCTTGCTAAGCTTATTAGGGATCAACAATCTTATGAATACCTTCTAATGGAAGACCCAAATGATTTTTCACTGTCAATGGGGCAGGCACTGAGGATTTTTAAATTCTGTGTTGTTGTTGGATTGGATTGGCTTTTTGAAATTTGAACTTAATAACCTTTGTTACTGTGGTTCTTTCTCTTCAGGCCATGAGGTTTGGTAACCTTCCAACATGGGCTGTTGGAATTTCAGATTCTATTTATGAGGCAGTGCTTTCAAGTAACCACATGACAGATCCTTTCATTTTGGACCGCTGTAATGGAGATAAGATAGATTGTCCTCTTCCATCAGATATTTTATGGAGAGAACCTCTCTTTGATCAACTGATAGCTAATGTGTATCAACCAGGTGAGGTGCGATGACGATGACCGTTTCCGTTCCGTTGATTAGACTTATTCTATTTGAACTAATCTCTAGGACACTAGCTCCATGGGCCTTAACGGGGCTGTTCGGAAACAGTTTTTTCGATGTCGGTAGGATATTTTTTAAAAACACCTTTTGTTTTAATAGAATGTACAATGCAGTTTTGAAAAGTCAGTTTGAGAAACAGTTTTCGAAAACAAAATTTAGAAAATACACCTGACCCAAACAGCCACTTAGGTTCTGATGGTTTGGTCTGTCAAGATGAAGAGTGTGTGTTTAGCAACAGCTTGTGGTTTAGTTTTGTGTCTTGATTCACTCATTTTATGTCGGTCTATGAATTCTATTATAATATTTCACTTGTATGATTTGACCAAATTATGCAACACTTCAACTGCAATCATGAAAGATAATAAGAAGCCCAGTTGTTCTGCTGCTAATCTGATGAAACTGATTTGTGAATGGCATTTTAAAAATATCTTGGGTTTTATTGTTTAAGACACATTTTATCTTACATTGCTTGTCATGTTCTTATCTTCATTAGTACAACATTACATTACCTTTTATAGTATTCCGCTTCAATTGTTATTTATTTCGGTGACATTGTAACAATTTCCCTCGTAATTCTTTAAAGGGGATTTGTGCACATGTTGACCTCATGCGGTTTGAAGATGGAATTGCCATTGTCTCCCTTGAGTCACCGTGCGTGATGCATTTTTCCCCGGTTGATCAAACTTCTTGTGATCCTACAAGCAAGGGAGAAGTCAGTACATCGACGTTGAAAGTGGTGGTATATCTAAACCCAGGATCGCTTGTTTTGTTGTGGGGCGAAGCTCGCTACCTCTGGAAGCACGAGATAAATCGTAAGCCTGGGTTTCAAATGTGGGAAGGCCAGGAACTTATTCAAGGGAGACGAACCTCCATTACACTGAGGAAACTGTGTCATGTTGAGTAGGAAGGCTTTTTACAGGTAGTAGCTGCATTTTCTTCCATGTTCATCCTTCGTTTTGTTTAACTGAATTCCAGTTAGCAGAATGCGGCTCGAACGAACAATTTGCTGTTATTTGACTGGAAAATTTTCAGTTCATTGTGGCTCTTGAAAAAGAAAAGTAAAAGTTGACAGGGAAGTTCTCAGCACATCAAATTGTTTCTGTACGTGGAGGAGTAGTTTCATGATGAATAAAAGAATATAAATGTCAAAACAATTGAATGGAAATCTGAAATCTACATTAGCAACTTGCTGGAGGGAAAAAAAGAGCAATGAATGGGTAGAAGAATAAAAATTAAAATTAGAAGTTATATAATTAATTTTTAAAGTCGTGTTAAATTAATTAACGTTGCTTAAATTATGTTTCAAACTTTTAATTTTATTTTTAAGTTTAAATACTATTTTAGTTTATATACTTTTAAATTTTGTTCATTTTTAACTATGTATTTTTGAAAGATTTATTTTGGTCTTTATAATGTTAAAAGAGAATTATTCTATTTTGGTCTTCGTTAAAAGAGAATTATTTTAGTCCTTTCATTTTTATTTTTATCTCATTTTTTAATCAGAATTTTACCATAACACTTCACACTGAATGCCTTCGAATGTAGTTATAAATTTGTATTCAAAAAGCTTTTATTGTGTAAAAAATGTGTTAGAATTTTGAAAATAGGGATCAATGCATATAAGATATATTTTGCAGGAATGAAATATTGGGAGAAATGAGATATACTTAGATCGGAAGCCTATAGTTCAAGGAGATAGCGTTGATACGCAGTCCATAATGTCTAAACGCTACGAACTTAAAGCGTCCTTAAAAGAACTTAAAGTGTCATTAAAAAATCTGTCATGGAGAGCTTAGAAAAAAGATTTGCAAGGCTCGAGATCATAGAGGTTGCTTCGGACACGGACGATTAACACGTCGAACTTAGTTTCTTCTCCCTTTCTTTGATTTTTCTAGTTTTGTTATGGAACTCTCATTGGAACTTTGTTGTTTTACAATGAATATGAGTAGCTAAACCTCTTATCTTAGTATTAATGTAGCAATTGAACCTTATGAACGGATTGTTTAATTCTCTTGATTGAATGTTTATAAACATTATATTTATATTTCTCTATACTTAATGTCTTTAATTCTACTCGCTATAGATTGATTGATATTATACTTGAAATCTTACCTTCGAAAAAGATGATTTAGTGTTAAAATTGGGATGCAGAACTAAAAGGGGTTTTAAGATTGAGAGATTTAGAAGTTCTTTAGAGGTCGTTAAAATATTTATTCTTTAAAGTCATAACTCGTTATTGAAATTAGATAGAAATATTGATTTGAATTACTAACAAAGAGACATTTGAAATTTGAGAGTTCTTGATTTATATAATTAATAGTTCATTCAATTTCCTAAGATTTTTCTTCCTATTGATTTTTTTATTTGCTTTGATTTGTCATTCAAATTTGATTCTTTAAATAAAATTGAGCAGTAGTATTCGTGGTACTTAAGTGAGCTAGAAATACAAATGACAGTATTTATTTACTCTCTATATTAAAACTTGACTAGCAATTTTTTCTATAAACTCCATTAAAGGAAAATATTTATATTAAAAAAAAATAGGTACTATGGGTAAATAGGTATCTATTGCTTTTCACTCACAAAAAATTGACAATTACAACACATTAAGTGAGAGAAAATATAATAAATACGTGTTTATGAACAAACAGATTTCTTTTTTCTTGAAAATAATAAATTTTCTGTTTTTAAATATTTTTCTTATATATATATATATAGGATAAAATAAATACAGAAGTGAAAACGAACACGCAGTTCATTCATCTTTTTGACAGATTCATTAACTTCCTTTTTTTTTTTTGGTTCGGATATATTTGATTTTCGGCCATGTGAGGTCCCAAACTTTCCATGGCT